GGACAAATTTTGGACTTTTTATCTAAGTCTATCCTGACAAAGTTCAGCCCCTTCATCTATCCAGAATTCTAGAGGGTGAAAGGCCACCAGCTCCTCTATACCCAGAGGAAACCTTGGCAGCTATGATTATAGTAATAGATGTAATTATATATGTAAAATGGAAACAGAGACACAATGTTTATTGATAGTTTTCATTAAATCGTTGAGTAAAAAGGATATATGAGACAGAGCTGTCCAAGTTTATGGATCCAGAGTCATGAGAATATGCTATGTATAAAGGGCTAAGCTGATGAAGGAATGATTTCAGTGCCCAAAAGGCACAGAAGATGTAATGGTTGATATGTTTTTATGGATTTGATTTCTCTTGAAGTTTCTGCTTATGTTTTTGCTTCTGAAGTTTATGCATTTCCTCCCCTATGATCCTATAGACCTTGCAAGCATGTTTTAAGATTATAAGAAGTACACTATATTGCAACTGTGTTATATAGTGCTCATCTGTCTATGTATTATATGACATCTGCAATGTGCTGATTCCTCTTTGTATCCCAAATGCTGAGAATAAAGTCTGGCACATTTTAAACAAGCAATTTGCTTTTGAAAATAGGTAAATCAGAGAATGATGATGTTAAGAGACACATTGCACATTATATGTTCCATTATCTTTTTCACCTGGGGGGAAAATGAATAATATAATCAAGCATAGGAAATGTTTCTTTTCATGTGGCTTCACCTTCTATACCACTCACGAATGCACTCTGGGTCAGAAAGGGGGCATATTAGAATAAATGGTTTCCACATGACCCAACTGGATAGAAAAATGCGTAGGTGGTGAAGGAGTTGACTAAATTTTAACAAAAACCTTGTGAACTCTATTCTTCCAGAAGAGATTAACTGTCTTTCATATCGGATGTGTAAACTATTTGTTAGTGCCAGCTGGAATGATCTCAAGTTTTACTTTGACAGCACTTTAACAAGCAGCAAAAATTGTCTCTGTTTAGTAATAAGTTATCAGCATAGCTCCTTAAGTGGCTGTGCTATAGAATGGGTATCTACAAATCATTTGGGTTCCATTCATTCTCCTTTCACCCAGGAGCTAAACATATTGCTTCTCTACAGAGTCCAACAGGGGAAGACGATTTGCCTCCATCCTTTCCTTAAATTCATGGTCACCTACCAATTTTGTGATGCTCTCAGAATTTAGAACATCATGCTCAAGTTTTAGGGACCCTAGGGGTGAATGTGTTCCAAATCAGTGTGGGAGTGTGGGGTGTTGAGAAATAACAGGCAGAGCACTGACATATGTAGAGGGACTTCTGAATTTGCTTCTGAAAATGCCACAGAGAGACTTCTGAATTTGCTTATATAGTTTAATTCTGATGTTTAGTGTTCTATTCTAAGATGTTAGCAGAGTAGAAAGAGCCCAGGTCTGTGTATGTAAGAATGCAAGGCTGAGGATCAAGAATTTTCATTCTAAGCTCAGCCCTGCCAACAATATGATAAAAATGAAAATCTAAGAGTAAATAATATTTACCACTTCTTTCAGCATTCAAATTGTAAGAACACCATGTCCTATTTTATAGAAAGATAAACTTTTGTAAGCATCTGTCTTTAGCCACAGTCACTAAACCCCTTAGCACAGTAATGACAACTCCATCCGGGTGGCCATTCTTCCTAGCTCCCTCCCAGCCTTGTACTTCCTGTTACCTCTGGACTCTGGACAAAGGAAATCTCCTCAGCCTGTGGTAACCTTTTGGCCTAAACACTAATTTAAGGGGAAAAAGTGTGGTATGGCACCCCCCACTAAGGCTGATGTTGCTCCTTCCAGATGATCCTAAGAACAGTTGGTCATTTAAAATAGCCCCACAAATTTAGATTCCCCTTATTTGGGAGATACCATTTTTCATGGACATGAAAACATTTAAGCCTATTACAATTAAAATGAGTAATTTCCTTTCTTTTATTTTGATTTTATAACCTGAAACTCCCAATTACTGCACTCAATCTTCCTTGAGTGTTTAGGCATTTCCCTTTCATCTTCATAACATATTTGTAAGTTTCCTTTATTACACCCATTTTACAGAAAGAAAACTGAGGCTCTAAGAGTTTAAATAACTTGACCAAAGGAGCAAGGAATAAAATCCAGTTCTCCCCTGACTTCCAAGATTGCCTTCTCATTGCATCATGTGATTTCCCAAAATAATCTTTCCTAATTTGAAGCATTTCCTTTTTCATATAAGGCAAAAGATGACCAAAAAGTACCAGCAGCTAGGACAAAAAGAATATAGGTGAAGAAAGAAAAAGAAAAATACCGGATGGTTTCACTCATAGCAAGAGCATAAAGGACCGGGGGGGGGGGGGAAATACTATTAATGAACGACTATACACCAGAGACATTATATGGGGGGTAGAGAGGGAAATGGGATAAAAAATGGGGGGGGTAGTGCACGGGACTATGGTGATGGCACATGGTGAACTGGCGGTGGGAAGTCCATGGGGATTACAAATGAGATGGAAAAAGGCATAAAATTATATAAAAATAAACAAACATAGAGCTTTCTCTCCACTCGCCCTTTAACGTGGACTTCGTGCTTTTTCAAGATGTGGATTTAGGCTTCAGGGAGATCCCACAATTCGGAAAGTTGAGCAATACACAAAATGAGCATATATATATATATATATACATATATATAGATAGATAGATGGGTACAGTCAATTATATATATATATATATATATAAAATGACAGTAGCCAATGCTAAATAATAAGTTTTGCTCAGTATCAGTCCTTAATTTCTTTATTTCAATCCATTTCAAAGCTATATTTGATCATATGTAGAAGAATGAAAATAGATTAGTTGGTTTGTTGAGGAACTTTTCTCCTGACTAAATAGTAAAACTTCCTCTCTGAGTAATATTTGTGAGGTACTTATGAGGGTTTAATTTGACAGTCCTATACTTATGCGGGTTTAATTTGACAGTCCTATGGATGACTTTCAAAGCCAATTGGCTGTCTCAGGGACTGGTGTGCTGGAATCAGTTCACAGTGGCTCTGGCAAATTGACTGGACCCATCTATTTCCAATTCTGTATTTAAGTGTACTTTAAAGATGATCTAAAATGAGGCTATAGTTTAACTCTGACACCACAGAAATGGGGAAACAGCATATCAGTTGCTTCTTTTCACCCTCCCTTCCCAGAGAGCTGGTTGTTAAACATTTACCTTTATATCTTTGACTGTCCTTCTTAATTAAAGAAATCAGGTAATATGACAGTATAAGTGTCACAGTTTCCAGGCCAGGTTAGGTTTCTTAGGAATATGACTCAAGGTCGTGACATCAGAATAGTGGGAAAATGCCACAGGGGCTAAAGTATGCAAAATATCCTAGACTATTATCCCAATGTCAGTGGAGAACTCAGAAATTTGGGAGAGAACTCCTGTAAACGCCCTCAATATTAGGAAAATCCAGGAACAGTTATTGTTTTGAAAGCAGAATGAGAGGGAGAGAGGGAAGAAGGGGACACACATCATCAAGAACATTTAAATGTTCTTCAAAAATATCTTTACTATTTTAAATGAAACCCCAGTGTGAGAAATTGGTTTGAATAATTAAAAAGAAGTTTCAGGCTTTGACAGTATGCATAAATAAAAATGATTGTGAAGCTAATATGTAAAAGAGCAATGAACTTTAATAGATATACTGACAATAGGTGAAATGTGGGAAGAGGCTGATTCGGTCAAATTTCAAAAACCCTCAAGACTACCTCTCTTCAAACTTTCATATTATAGCTTAAAAACTCACATACATCCCCAGCAGGGGTATAAAATGGTATAATTTTGAAAAACTATGATAGTTTCTAATATTTCTAAAAAAACACAAATGTCCAGTAACAAGATATACATGACATGTTCATACATTGAACATTATTCGGCTATTAAAAGGAATAAATTCTATACAGTAGCATCTCAAAAACAGCAGTGAGGCAAAAGAAGAACACAATATAAACTTTATGACTTCTGTTGTATCAGAAATAAGAACAGGCAAAACCAGTCTTTGGGGATCAGAAAAGCTGTTACCCCTGGCCAGGGGGATTATAAAGAAATGGGAAAGGGTAAGAGAACTTTCTGGGTGATGGGAATGTTTTAATTCTTGTTTGAATGGTGATTTTAACAATATATATATAGTTGTCAAAATTCATCAAATGATATAGTTAAGTTATAGTGAGCCGTTTGTTTATTGTAAACAGACTTTGTAGAAATTATGTAGGCACATATATATCTTTAATATTTCACACGAAATCCCAGTGTGGGAAATTGGTTTATGTAATGAAAAACAATCCTTGGGCTTTGATAATCTGTATAAACACAAGTGTAAAAGCTAAAATGTAAAAAAGCAATGAACTTCAACAGAAGCACTGACAATAGAAAAAGCCATATAATATGTAGATCTATCTATATCTATACCTATATCTATATATATACCCATTTCCTTCGAAGTCTAATATATAAAAATAAACAAACATAGAGCTTTCTCTCCACTCGCCCTTTAACGTGGACTTCGTGCTTTTTCAAGATGTGGATTTAGGCTTCAGGGAGATCGCACAATTCGGAAAGTTGAGCAATCAGTCCAAGTCATTTCCCTTTAGCTTGCAGATTTCTCATCACTGACACAAAGACACATTCTGGGCAATCCCGCGTGGGCACAAGAGAAAGTTTGGGAGGCAGGTTCAACTCAGTGGGGAATTCCTCTCCCCAGCACACACACACGCACACACACAAAGCCTTTCAGAGCTTTTCACCGGCCACAGCCCCCGGGCATGAATCAGCCTCCCCTTACCCCGCTGCCTCCCCCCCACCCCGCCCCCCTCCCTGCTCCGCACCCGCACAGGCTTGCTCCGCCCTGTCCCGTGTTGGGAGGGCACTCTAGCCGCATAAAGCAGGAACCCCTGCACCGGCACCCAGGTCACTTGCAGAGGCTGGACGCTGTAGACCCTCCTCCCCCGGGCTCATTCTCAAGACACCGCAACCGCGGACCACTGGAACCCCGACACCATGGACCCCACTTGTCCCCTCGGACTATTGCTACTGCAGCTGCTACTGATGAGAAATGCGCTGGGCGACACTGCTCCGGCGCCACAAGGTATCACAGTCCCAGCTAGAGACCCCTTTTCCTGGCTTCCTGTGGTCAGGTCAACGAGGAAGGCACGGAGCTCCAAGGGTCATCTCTTGCCCACTCTCTCCTTCCCGCTTTCCCCAGGCTCCTGCCACAGGGCTGCTCCAAACGGCACACCCGTCCAAGTGTCCAAGTTTGCAGTTCCAAGTTTGCAATTCCTCTCCCTACGGGAGCCCTTCTGCTTGGAAGCAGCTGAGGATTGGGAGTAAGGGGTGGTGAGAGTGGATGGGCATAGAACTCCCCTCTCGGGAAATTCTCTGCCCCCGTGGTAGTTGTAGCTGACTCTGGCTCCTTGTTCCTCTGGCTCTCCTGCCCCTCTAGGAAACAAAGCCTCGGAGATCTGCCTTCTGCCCCAGGAGGTAGGGCCCTGCCGGGCTCGGATCCCCAGCTACTACTACGATAGGTACACGCAGAGCTGCCGCCAGTTCATGTACGGGGGCTGCGAGGGCAATGCCAACAATTTTGAAACTTGGTCAGCCTGCAATGAAGCTTGCTGGAGGATAGAGAGTAAGTGTTCCCTTGCAATCCTTGAACTGTTCCACCGCTTACACAGATAGCCGGATTGTATCTTAGCTAATTATGCAGATCCCATTTTCTGTTGTTAAGTTTTACCCGGCTTTTCTGAAGTATTAAGCAAGACCCACTGGTGTTCAGTTCCCTGAAAGTAATCACAAATCTACCAACTCTAATAGGCGTTATCTCTCCTGACACTCAGTATCTCCGGATGCAGCAAGACTTGTTATCTCACTATAGGACAAAACAATGCAAAATCACAGTGTATTGGGCGCAACATAAGTACTTTTCTGTATGTGTTTTTAGTTCTAAACCTGTGTTTTTTATGCCTCCTTGAAAACAACGTTTCTTCACATCAGTTATCCAGCAACCTGAAATAATTTTAGTGGATTTTATTATTTGAAGTGTCACTTAGTTAATTATAACTTTACTTTTGTCTCTCTCTAACCTAACGTGTCTCCATTAGTTATTATCAGAGGTCATTATTATTATCAGAGATTTATCAGACAGTCACTATACTGTTTTCTATTTTATTTTTATTATGCTTATTATATTTGCTAAGGCCTGTAACAGAACATGAGGCTTTCCTCATGTTGAGTCAGGAGAAAATGTATATTGCTGTGGATAAGAGTGATTAACTTTATATGTAGAAACAGAATACCCTGGGAGAATAGTCTTATCCTGAATTCAAAAATTTATCATGACTAAGTCAAGTCTGGATACACTGTTAAGAAAAGAAAACCTAAATAGCGAGGGTAATGCACAGTCTTGGGGAATTTACAAATCCAGCACTAAACATGCCTGCCTCCTTCCACCCCACAGAAGTGTCTGAAAGCACAAGCAAAATTCTGAAAGCTTACTAGTAAATTTAAATGCTTATACCCTTCATTTCCTAGAAGTTCCCAAAATCTGCCGGTTGGAAGTCAGTGAGGGACCATGTGGAGAGTCCAGAGAAGAATATTTCTTCAATTTAAGTTCTATGACATGTGAAAAATTCATGGCTGGTGGGTGCCACAGCAATGAGAATCGCTTCCCAGATGAAGCTACTTGTATGGGCTTCTGTGCACCAAAGAAAGGTAAAGATAATTTTTATAGTGTTTCTGTTCATTTCCTTTTTTAAAAAATTTAACTTTGGTGTACATTTTTACTCCTTCAAACCACCCATGCAAACCATCCTTGTCTCTATCCTCCTGTCCTATTTCTTCTAACCACTAAATTCTTTCACTGAGATTTATTCCTTCTGTATTTTGTCTGTGTATATTGTTTGCTTATTTATATTCCACAGATGAGCGAAAGCATCTAATATCTGTTTTTCACTTTCTGATTTATTTCACTTAACATAGTCACCTTGAGTTCCATGTGTTGTATTCCAAAAAGCAATTTTATATATTAAAAAAAAAATCTATTCATTTCTTCACTACAACTTTAGGGAGAAAAAAGAATCAGTAATCTGATATAGAATTAATATAATTTGTATTCTGGCGATTTCATAGGAGATGCTCTGAGAAGTTGCTGAATTGCCAGGGCCTCAAGGGCTAAAAAGTGAGAGAGCCATGATTTGAATTTTTGCTTTCTCTTCTCTAGAGCTAGTTCTCATCTACTCAATTCACACACACAAACATAGACAAATTATGATACTCATTTACGAACACCATGGCATCAGTTTTGCACAGAAAAGTTCCATATATAAGGTAGTGGACTATATACAAATTTAAGATGGTGAAATTTGAATATTTTCTTCTAAAGTTTTTGGTTACATCGTTATATTCTAGCCCTCTTTTCCCCTCTTCCCCTTTCTTACACGCATTCTGCCCACACCTCATCCCCTTGCAGCCCTTGAAATACAGGTTACTTGGGCAGTATTTAATATTTTGCAACTAGAGATAATACAGGCATTTTCCTTAGGCATTGTAGAAACACATGTCCATAGATAAATTCAACAAATGAAGGAGACTTGCTTTTTTTTTTTTCTTTAAGATCTATTTATTTATTCATACAGAACTAGAGTACAGGCCATAGGTGCAGGGACGGTGAGGGGATTCACCAGAGACAGAGTGGGGAGCAGAACAGGCCGGCTGACGAAGTACACTGCTGAGGGGAGCAGTGGGCTGGTCAGGAAAGGTCTGTAGGAGAGGTCTGTCTGCCATGTGGGTCACCTCCGGGGATGGGGATCCAACTCGCATTGAAGCAGCTGCAGCTAGCTGGCAGTGCTACTGTCCTGACCTGTTGAGCCACTAGGGAGGGCCCGAGGGAGACTTGCTTTGACAGAGGTATTGATGAAGCTCAGCAGCAATACTACGTTGAATATGAAAAACCTTAAATTAATGAGAAAATGACTGTTGCTGGTGCTCTCTTGAACTGTTCGTGTAAATGTAAATGTTCCAGTAGCCATACGGGAATTCATGTAACCTTGATTGACAATGGAAAGAGAGCTGATTAAAAATAGTTAAAATAAAACTACCAGCACAAGAAAGTTTACTGAGACATTATATATTAATCCCCCACTTTCCCCTGAGTATATCTGTTTTGAGAGTTTACTTTCTTCACACATTTAAATGATACAGAGAAATGTAACTTTCAGAAGAAACTCTTTCCAGTTTATAAAAATTTAGAATTACTAAACGATTGCATGTAAGCTTTCTTGGAGTTTGAGGAATATTTCTGAAATGGCTTAGTGTGATTAATTCGGATTCAGAGTGAAGTATCAATGAGATTCAGTTTTCTACTGTTACTTCAATAACAATCACAGCTTAACAGTTATTATATAACAGAATTTCTTATTTTCTTTTCCATAAAGGTCCATCATTTTGCTATTTCCCAAAAGATGAGGGACTATGCTCTGCTAATGTGACTCGCTATTATTTTAATCCAAGACACAGAGCCTGTCAGGCCTTCACCTACACTGGCTGTGGAGGGAATGACAATAACTTTGTTAACATGAAGGATTGCAAACACGTTTGTGCAAAAGGTAGTGATTTTTTTCTTATTTAATTTTAAACTAATTTTATAAATAATTCATAAGCCAACTTATATTTTTATATATCCATTTTACTAATAGCATATTGCCATTTCCAGACTACTTCTACATTAAATAGCACTTTGGTGCTCATCAGTTTTGTTAAAATGTTGATAATGGCTAGTAGACAGTAGCTAGATCCCCACGTTTTAAATGTAGAGTGTGATTAACTGAGTGGACAGTTAGTTAGCTTTGAAATCGTTAAAGGTAAGATGAATTTGTGAGCATATTGGAAATGTTTATTTATAGTGGAGTTGCCAGTTGAAGACATATGATACTTATTTTTTTGTTGACTTTAGCCCTGAAGAAGAAAAAGATTAAGAAGATGACAAGGCTTCTGTTAGCCAATAGAAGTCTAAAAATTCGGAAGAAGCAATTTTAACTCTTTTGTTCTCTTTATCATGTGAATGTTATTGTGTCTGTGGTACAGTTGATGAATATACTATGGTAGCATGAGTAAACCAGTTGTTAGTGATTTATTCACCACTTCTTTACTTATACATGTACTTTTTAAGATTTGTGTATTTGAATGTCTATCTAGCTGCTATTCAACTGTGAACCATTTGTTTTTAATTTACCTCTTAATATTTTATAAAGTTCCATTCTTAGATATAAAGGAAACATGACTGATCCAGTTTTAAAGTTAGTTCTTGAGCTAGAGCCTTTGTAATAAATTGCAACTTTACCTTACCAACTTTACTTGCAACTTTACCAACACTTAAAAAAAATGCTATTGTGTAGACATTAGTAAAATACTTCAGTTTCCAATGTATCATTAAATGAGTGTCCTGATCATCAAATTCAGATGGGGGGAAGGGTTACTCACACCAACAGACAAGACATGCTCAGACACCAGAAATGTATCTGAGAATTTAACTCTCTTATAGCACTGAATTTCACAGGTGAGGGTTTCATCCAACAAGACCAGGCAGCCTCTAACCCCTATAATCTTCCCACCACATATACACTTCAGATATAGTCACAAGCTAGCTATAAATCAGGGGTTTTCAGGACTTCCATCTTGGGTTCTATTAATTTGCAAGAAACTCACACAAAACACAGGAAACCCATTTACTCACGAGTTAGCCAATTTATTACAAAGGCTCAACGCAATCAGATGAAGACCATGCATTGGGTAAGGAATGTGGAAAAGGGCATGAAGTTTTCATGCCCTCTCTGGGTGTGCCACTCTCTCAGCCAAAACATTGTTCACCAAGTCAGAAGTTCTCTGAACTTGTCTTTTTGGCTTTGTATGGAGACTTCATTACATAACCATAATTGATTAAATTTCCAGCCTCTCCCTCTAAGGAATTGAAAAGTTCCAGTCCTCTAATCACAGGGTTGGTTCTCCTGGCAGCCGGCCCCCATTTTTAATGCTTCCAAAAGTCACTTGGTTTACATTACAACCCTTAGGAAATTCCAAGGGTTTGGGAGTGTGAGTCAGGGACTTGTGGGAGAAGACAAAATATATATTTCTTATAAGTCACAACAATACTTTTTTTTTCACTGAATTTAAAAGCTAGTAAATGTATTGAAATCAGAAATGAACTCTAGGGGAAAATCCACACCTCTCTACCCTCTATTTATTTGTTCCTGCTCACGAGTAGATGTTTGTACATACATAAAGATGATTTTTAATAGTTTTCCTGCTGTTACCTCCCCCCCCCCCAAGACATAGTGGATTGAAGGTTACTAAAGTGTTTACAGTTTTTGTACTGTTGGTGTTTTGTACTGTCTGGTGTTTGTTACATCAGAGACCAAGCAGAAATTTAATAACTTAATTCCACTGATAAATTAGCTGTGACAAATATGATCATTCCACTTAAAGAGTTTTCTCTGAAAAACATTTTAAACTTCTTAATCTCTGAGGCAAGATTAAATTGTAAAAAAAAAAAAATGCCTCTGATCTTGCAAAACTATAATTGTACCCTTTGCTTGAGCAACCCCTTTTTAAAATTCAATCCCAAAAGTCTTGTCGCAAAAATACAAAATAGCATATACATAAACTTATGCAGTGATTTATTATTTGGAATAACAAAATGGGAAACAAACCAGATGCTGCTCATCAATAGGGGACTAGAAAAATTATGGATGAAAATTGAGCAAAAATCTCTGTATTGATATTATCTAACCCTCAGAATACATTTAAAAAAAATTCAGGGTCTAGAACGGTATGAATAAACAAACATACATCTCAACAAAGGTATAAAGTGATATTTAAAATGGTTACTGACAGAAAGAGAAAAAAGAAACAGCCATTGAACACATAAATAGAGGGAACCACTGTGAATGTACATTGCTTTCCAGTTCTGATCCCAGCCCTTCTAAATTTTCACATAATTAAGAACCAGAATTGAGTCAGAAAGAATAAAAAGCATTTCCTCTAAAACTGGAAACATACCAAAGCAGGTGAACCCAGATGAAAATCAAAGAGTAGCATAACTACACAAAGGGTCTATCATTATTTTCAGTGACTGTTTTTGACTATATATCTTTTGAGGGATAAAAATCTAAAGATGAAAGAAATTCTGAAAATTCATTCAATAGTCTTATAATTACTAGTTATATTGATATTTTGAGTCTATCACATAGAAGACTTCTGTAAGTAAAGATTTTCAGGGCTGAGAAATATAAGATTAAAAACATTTAGTTTTTATGTTGGAATTGTGAGTACTAGTATGAATACAAAATTTGTTTTCCCCTTAAAATATGTACTTTTCATTATTCCACTGTTGAGTCCTTAAAGCAATGACTATACAATAGCAATAAGTACATATGCCTTTCTAACTATGGCATCTAAGTACTTTTCTAGCTAAAAGTAACTTAGGGCTCTTAGAAGAAATTGTTGAGTCAGGCAAATGATGGACAGGAAATATGTAAGATGATCCTAGGTGATTCTACTACAGAAAGCAAGGAAACGATTAGATTTTATGAGTCCTGTCACAAAAACAGGAAAATAACATAACATGAGATAATATGAACATCAAAACAAATAATGACCACAGTATATACAAATACATAAATATGCATATAAAGTAAGTTTATACTTGTTCATACACACGCATACACAGGCACAGACATACCTCCTTGGCCACTTTGGAAAGTTCCTAGGGCACTATCTCATTACTTAGAAGAAATATTCTTTGTTTACCCTTAAGAATGTTACCAGGAAAAAATAAAGTAGTTTGTGAGAGAAGGATTCACCAAATAGGTGAATTAAAATGTTAGAGAGAAAGATTCACCAAATAGGTGAATTAAAATGTTAGAATATAGGGCCTCTCTGGTGGTGGAAGGGGTTACGGCTCAACACTGTGAAGATCTCCACAGCCAGTGCCGCACAAATTTGATCCTCAGCCAGGGAGCTGACCCATGGTGCAGCAGACCCCTCCTGTCTCCTGGTGGCTCCCCTCAGCATTGTATTTCAGTGGATCTGCCTGTCATGCTCCCCACTCTGTCTCTGGTGAGTCCTCTCACCCATGTACCTCTGGCCTATATTCCAGTTCTTATATGCATAAATAAAATCTTTAAAAAAATGTTGATGATACCCCTAATGAAAATGGCATCTAGGAAATTGTCATCTGTGTAATCTGTGTATGCTGAAACCGGGCCACTAAAGTTTGATGGGAAACAAAAAGTAGCAGGGGAGGAATCAGGCTGAACTCCCTGAAGTTATCATTAACTTTGACAATAGACAGTATTTACTTCCTGACCTTAAGCAATAAAAAGTGCACATATACCCTCCCCTGGAAATAATTTTGAAGAAAAAAACAGTTCAACATGGAGCTGATCAAGCCTCTAGATCTTTATGCCATATTAGTAGCTTATTAGGGAGTATTGGGGATCAAGGACAAGTTGAGAATCAGGGGAAAATCAATCAGTCTAGTCATAATATTGGATATTTTATAGGCTAAGTATTCTAGTTTCTAACAAACTATAAGATTTAAAAAAAAAAGGGAGGGAAGAGTAGACAGTGATTTAACAGAATCTGACATAACAACAAAAAGCAGTATGTCATTAAAAAGATTGTGGTTGAATATGGCTTATATTTGTGACTTTTCCAGTAGCTCTGAGAATGATTATATTAGAAGTGTTGTGTATTTTCTGCTCTAGAATTTCAAAGCCTTTCAAGTACAGGGGATCACTAAGGCTACAGTAAATATCTGGTTTGGCATGTACTGCCTTTAACACCTTCGGAATCAAATTTGTTGAGATCATGGACACTACTTAGCCTACAGCTGCAATTCTCAGTTTAACAAAGTTAGGGAAGAAATGATTTTGATACAACTGCTCCAATACCCCAAGTCTCTACTATTTAATTTTAATGAAATAAATGAAGCTGTCATGACATTAGTAGTCAAAAGGAAAGTCCTTCTTGCCACAATCAGCTTGAAGATAAGGCACCACTACTATGGACACCAGACAGTCTGATCAAAAGGTATATTTCACTGTGTGACAGAAAATGACAAAAAAAAAAAAAGGACTAGTATTTTAAAATACTCTTTTTATTAAAAAAAAAAAGTTCTGAACTACCATTGATGCCTCCTTTCTGCACACTGTTGCATGTTCAACCACAAATACTACTTTCAAGATTGCCTACATTACAGTAACTCAAAGTATTGATATGTATGTTATCTTTGCTAACAAAATTGTAGAAATTTAGGTAACATATTATTAAGTAAGGGATATCCTTTGAAGTTTCTGTATGGTAATAGATGTAAAAATTTCAGCTGTGGTTCATCCAGAAATAAATCTCTCAAGTTTCTCAGAGAATAGAGCTAAAAATTCAGTCTACATATGACCAAAAGGAACATGAAAATATGCTTATCATCTCTTATTATCAGGAAAATGAAAATCAAAACCACAATGAGGTACTACACTATACCTGTGAGAATAACCCATGTCAAAAAGGCCATAAACAACAAATGTTGGTGGGGGCACAGAGAAAAAGGAATCCTCTTTCACTGTTGGTAGGAATATAGACTAGCCCAGCTCCTATAAATAATAGTAAACAGGTTTCTCAAAATATTAAAAATAGTTCAGTCATATGATTCAGCAGTTCCACTCCTGTATTATCTACCCAAAGAATGCAAAAACAAAAATTCAAATGGATAGATACATTCCTATGTTCATTATAATACTATTTCCAATAACCAAATTATGAAAATAATATAAATCACCAAAACATATGAATGGATAAAGATGCATTATATATATACATATATATATATATTTATACATACACACAGACACACACACACACGTATACAATGGAGTACTACTCAGTAATTAAAAAGATGGATTCTTGCCATTTATAACCACATGGATAGAATGGAGAGGATTATGCAAAACAAAATAGGTCAGAAGGAGAAAGACAAATACCAAAGGAATTCCCTCATATGTGAACTATAAAGAAACAAAACAAAGGAACTGGCAAAAGTGAAGCAA